AAAAGTCCTAAATTAGAAAAGACAAGTTTTATATAAATCAAATTGAAACTTATAAATAACTAATTTTCTAGCTTACTGTCCTTGCAACAATAAGTTATATGTTCAATCAGTTTTAATTTATCAATGTCCAACATCTAGTTGTGAATGTCAACATTTTACTGTCACTATTAACAAAAAACTATCAGTATAAATATGTCAGACTGATTCTATATACTTGATTGCGAATGTCAAACACACATTATTTTTAGTCATTAAAAAATAATAGTTGTTAAAAAATAACTATCAATATAGCATGAAAACACATTGACTACGGTCTATGGTCACGTTGAACATGTGCCTAATCTATTATTATAATTATTTTTGGACTACATGGCATCAAATGCTTACATACGTTTAATAGTACTTTTATTCCCCAATAAAAATATAGTAAAGGGGAGGAAAACTCAAAAAGTGAAAAAGAGAAACATAAAAAGAAAGTTTCAAATTTTTCAAGAAATGATAAATAATATACATATTGCAATTGAAACAAAAAAAGTAACTACCAATAACTTTAGAAACAATTGTCGATACATGTTCAGAGATACCAGGTTTTATCTTTTTTACAATATCTTCTAATGCAACAGCAGCCATTGAGTTCAATCCAGAAGATGCTGTGCTAATTTAAAAAGTATTAGAACTGAAAAAATTATAAGATGTACACTGAGACGTAGATTTATTTTCATAATCAAAATAACTTCTTAAATATTGACTAAAATTAAAAAAATAAGAACAATAACATGGCAAAAAATATTTTTAAAAAATCAAAAATTAAAAGAAAATTATAATTATCAGTAAAATTATTATATTGAAAAATATTTCCACTTTTAAATTGTGCCCTGTTCTAATTTACTTTCAGCTTGTGTGCTGATCTATTCACTTTCAGCTTATGCACTGTTCTATTCACTTTCAAATAATTAAATACTTTGTAGATTTTTTTTTATAATATATTTTATACCATAGTAAAATTTCTTTAATATTAAATATATTTTTAAATATATAAAAGTAAATATTACAATATAAGTATATAAAAATAAAATACCTTAATGCACCACTAAATAAGCATGATGTAAACAAACCAGCAACACCTTTTAAATGACTTGCCTTGTGTATAATGAAATAAGGAAGCACCTTAATAAAATAAGGAAGCTTCTTAATAAAGTATTACGAACTAACTATACATAATACTTAAATTGGAAATAATTTAGTTTTATAATAAAAAAAATAAAAAACAAAAATAAAAAATATTTTTAAGACCTAACTACTTTTTTATTATTTACTAAGCATTGAAAATTCTATAAATAATTCAAACAATAGATATTACTTTAACTTCATAAACTTTGTAATAAGAATATCTTAAAAAGTTTATTATCTATAACAGCCCGTTGCATATTATTATGCAAACTTAAATTGGTTCCCAAATGTCTATGCCATATTATTATGGTTTTATGCATTTCCTTTTTGTTCATCAGTAATTAGATGTCTAATTGCCAAAATTTACTACTTAATAATTACAAAGCTTTTGTTTCAATAAATCACTTTTACACATGTTTATTTATATTTTAAATATGGCAGATAAGAAAGTTCTTTTAGAACAAAAATTATTATCAAAAAAGCAAATATTTACTCATTAAGAGATAGAAAATAATACTTTTGATGAAAATGAAGAGTTAAATGAGGTAAATTTATTTTATCTGATGTTTCTGATGGAGAAAACTCACAACCAGAATTATTAGAATTTGGTTTAGAAGAAGATATGCCTGCATTGGTTGAGACTCAAAGTTCAAGTGACAATTCTTTAGAGAAAAAATACCTTCATATATATCCAAATGAACATCTGAACTTCCAGTTAATAGAGTTCAACCTTTCACACTTACTGGTGTTTGTGTGAAACAACTAGAATATAGTAGAAAATGCTCCTCTTTATTTGTTTGAATTTTTTACAGATAAAAGTTGTGAATTAATTGTAAATGAGACATTGATTTGTATTCCAAATTATAAAAAAAAAAGAGTTATCACCAAATTTCAGAATGAAGTGCTGAATGCCTGTAACAGTTCCAGAGATCAGGCAGTATATTGCAATTTTTTTTATACAATGGAATACTTTGGAAGCGCATGAAATCTATAACACCACAATCTATTATTTGGAAGTCCTGGTATCAAGTGGTTGTTATTTCATAACAAATTAAAGTTAATTGACAAATTTATTAACTTGGTTGATTCTACTGCATAAACAAATAAAAATCATATTCTATCCAAAATAAGAATAGTATGGGATTATGTGACTAATAAATACAAAGAAGTGTATACACCTACACAAAGTATATCTATCACAATTGTTGTAGAAAAGTGGGCTATCTTGGAGACAGTGCATTCGCAGCAAAAGTGCCAGATTTGGCATAAAATCATTTTTATTGTGCAAGTCAGATTCAGGATATGTATGAAAATTAATTTTATATACAGGATCAGAGCTAAATAATACTCTAGATTAAAATTATTGCTATGTTGCAACAGAAGTAGTATTGTTTTTTATAAAGGCCAGCTTTCTTGAACAGGGCTAAAAACCATACATTGACAACTGGTATTCTTTTTATGAGCTTTCATCTGTTTTATTGCTAAGATCTACAGATAGATAAGAACAATTTGCAAAGACTGAAAAGGCTTGCCTTTTTCTATCAAAACAAAGTTAAAAAAAAATTAAAAAAAGTTTTATACAAAGAAAAAACAAATATATTGGTATCACATTGGTAAAGATGTGCATTCCATGTCAATTTGCAATTATAATGGGACTAGAAATGTTTTAAGACCTGGAAAAGAAAAGCAGATTCCTTTAGTTATTGATTATTACTATGTAAATATGGGAGGCGTTGATAAAAGTTCCAAAATGATAACATCATATGAAGTTAAAATAAAAAGATCAAGTTTTATCATTTGATTAATCAAGCAGCCTTCAATGCTCAAATAATTGGTAAAATATAACAACTTTAGAATACTGTTAATCACATCAGTGTTTCTATGATATGGTCAACAGCCAAAAATATTTGACTCTAGATTGGTGGCTAACAACCACTTACAGCTGACCAATATTTTGATTGGTGGCTAACAACCACTTACAGCTGACCAATATTTTGATTGGTGGCTAACAACCACTTACAGCTGACCAATATTTTGATTGGTGGCTAACAACCACTTACAGCTGACCAATATTTTGATTGGTGGCTAACAACCACTTACAGCTGACCAATATTTTCCTTCAGAAAATCTTTCAGAATCTAAAAAAAAGATTAATGCTCAGAGAAGAAAACGAAAAAGAAAAAGAAAAAATTCAATTTATGAATGTGTAAAATGATATGTAGGGCTTTGCGCAGCTCAGTGCTATGCCAATTATCATACAAAAAGTGAGTATTAGTGAATATATATTTAAAATCTTGGAAATAGGCAGGTTAGTTAATATGTAAGGCTAGTTGATACACACGATTTTCTAGCTAACTAAATTTTTTTAAAGGTGAAGCGCTGCCACCTATTGTTTGCTAATGTAACAGGAACTCACTAGTTTTAACTTCAATAGGTAGAAAGCTAAAGTATCTATAATATTTAAAAAAAAGTGCTTTGCGTTATCACAAGTGAAATCTTCAAAACCAGGTAAGGTGTCTTTTGTTTAATTATATTAGGAGTATCTAGTAATTTCCCACCTCCATGTTGGAGTACATATTTATGACTTTCACTTCAGGTTAGTCTTATTCTTTGAAAATAAGTTGAAATGCCTGAAAAAGGAAATGTTAAACATAATGGTGTTAATTGGGTAAGTTGATACAAAACAAGTTATGTTTTGTATCAAATAACCGAACTTATAAACTAAATTTTCTTAAGCATTTAATATCCACCACTAAATACCTTACAGATCTGAATTATTACTAAATTTTAATAAACTTATGTTTGAAGCATACTTACTCAAAATTCCATCATTATATAATAAATGTAAACATCAAATTTTATCAAAACTTTATTTCCGAGGTAAGTAGTTTCAATATAAAAAATGACTGCTAGCAAGCAATAACGAAATGTTATGTTTATAAAGACAAAAAATTAGAATCCCATTAGCTTTAGAGAAAATTATTATTTTTGTTATCATTGTTATTTTTATTTCATTTAACCTAATTTCCTGCTTTTGTTTTTCTTTAGTTGTAATCTTACTTCTGTATTGATCAATATTCACCAATAAAATGAATAAGGTTTTTCTGAAATCATTTTATTTCATTTTATTTGGTCATTTAAATTTAATCATAGAAATTTTTACATATGTAATGATATAACTTATTTCAATGTTGCAGGAAAATATTGAATGTTTATAAATAAAAATCTACCAGGGCAATAGCAACACCCCCTGATGTGATAAAAAGAGCTGCAGAGAAAGTGAGAAACAGCTGTTTATTACGTAGTGCAGCAGAGCAGTTTCCAGTTGCTGCCTAGTGACTTCATCGTCACTAATGAAATGTAAGAAGATCTGGCAAATTAATTGAAATTTCTAGTTAATACATTTTATTGACTGTCTCTAGACAAATGCTGCAAATTATCATTCATTTTTCCATCCCGCAACAACGTAAAGATACCAGAGTCATGGAAGTAGAATAAAAAAACTGGAAAAATGTGGTGGTTAGGATTTAAAAAACAATGTCCTGAAGCTACATCACTTGGGAGAGCTACATCATTAAATCAATATACTATTGGAGAATTCTATGATAATTTAGCTCATGTTATGGATAAATACAAAATACGGCCACAAGATATTTATAATATGGATACACTACAGTCCAGGACCCACAGAACATTAATGCTGAAAAGGGTAAAAAGAAAGTGGGTGCAGTGAAAGAGGAGAATTAGTTACTGTTGTATACACAGTAAGTGTTAATGGTAAGGTGATTCCACACATATTTATTTTTCCTTGGGTTTACTATCATGGTTATTTTATATGAGGAAGACTACCAGGTTGCATTGGTCAGTGCAGCCAATCTGGTTGGATAAATAAAGAACTCTTTCTTGTTTATGTTAAACATGTGATAGAACCTGTTACACCACTGAATGTAAAATTTTAGTGATTCTCTACAACCACGAGACACACTTTATGCAATTGATGAGGCAAGAGCAAATGGGGTAATATTGTTAAAAATACTACAACATATCTCACACTGTCTCCAGCCCCTTGATAATGTAGTAATTGGTCCATCTTAAGAAAGTTATAATTGAGTCATTGATGGTTGGCTGAGGAGCAACCCAGGCAAAACAGTCACAATTTATGATATTCCTAGTTTAATCAATGAAACCCAGCTTTCAGCAAAGTCAGCATAAAATATCATATAAACCCAGATTTCAATCAATTGGTATTTATCCTTATAATTGCAACATTTACACTGTTACAGATTTCACTCGCTAAGATTTCCTTTTATGATCAGTCAGCAGTCTCCAATGCATTAATATCAGGAATTTTATGATCTTGACAGATCATAAAATTCCTGATATTAATGCATTGGAGACTGCTGACATACCACCATAACCAGAGTCCACCAATGCAACCAAAGACAGTCCACCACCAGGAACTAGTAAATGACTGGGGTTGATATTTGACCAAGGCCGGGTTTGATAAAATATAGCCGGGGCCAGGGCAGGGTTTGTGACCCACAAACTACATGAGCATTTATAAATCCTAAAGTATAATTTTTTATGTAAAATTCATGTTGCATTATTCAAAGTGCATCTCAGAAGCTTTTATTCCTTCTGGACTAAAAGTTTGGAAGCTCTTATCCCAACTCTTTAAGTCAAACTTCATTCTACTCCATATTTTTTTCACCATCTTGAGCAGTTGCTTAATTAATCATTTATTTTATCTTTTTAACAAAAACATCTCTTTTAAGAACAAAAAACGCCAGCAGCTCTCTGATGAATCGATCATAGAGTATGATGACAGCTCTGATGAAGACATTTCTGATGAGAAAATTGAGGGTGATTTTGTTAGCTTTAAAACACCAATTGAATAAAAATAAAAACTATTTCAATTTTAGATTAATTAAATATTAAGTCATATTTAGTAATTCAGTTTCTCAGTAATGGCAAACAACCAACAGTGCTGTATTAGA